GTGGATGAATTTGTAGTATACTGAATAAACAATTAGCCCTCAGGGAAGAAATCTGTTATTAAACAAAATTGTATTATATTAAATGAAATATTAGGCCACCAACGTCCTAAGGAAATAGCAAAAAAGTGACAGCACTTGCTTTGGAACATGGAAGAAGATTGATTTGACCAAGTGTAAATGTTCATGTTTGATCTTAGCCACTCCAGAAGAGTTTTATGAGCAACAGAAACACACATATTTTTAAGGTGCAATTCACTTAACCAGTGCCTGACTAAAGATGAGCTATTTTTCTACATTGTCTGCTACAGCAAGTTAGAGGACTAGCTCCGATATTGATGTCTACATTGTAAACCTCAAAATCTGGGCAAGATGACAGACTGTGCAAGTGATGGAAACTGAAACGCTACGAATTTATTCTTTCTGGCTAAATCCTCTCCATTATCAGAACACTGGCACAGACAATACACAAAGAGGATAGGGCTTGTACAATTCTTCAATGACTAATGCTCGAAGACTGCAGATTCAAGCTTGTACTGCCCATTTCAATGTACATATCCTAACAGATGCACTGCTTAAGTGCTCACAAAATACAAGGAAAAAAAGATATAATCACCCCTCTCCCAATAATGGATGTGGTTAATATGAAGCTTTTTTCTTGCAAATTATAAAAAAATAATTACAAGTGTAGAAGAAGATTAGGCTTACATGAAGAAAATTAAGAAATGCCGATTCTGACTTCAATTCAAATTGTCTCTTTTGAAAAGTACAGAAAGGACAAGACAGTCAAGAAGAGATCACAAGCTAATTATTTGGAAAAAAATCATTTCACAGTGTTCTAATTTTTTATTTTGAAAATGTGATCAACTCTCAAGGAAGTATGGAAAGTGCCTATATTGGGGAAATTAAGGAAAAGGTAGACCAACCCACTGCCTAGACCAGCAGCATTGCACAGACTGTCAATAGGGAAAAAAAAAATATTTAATTTCCTCCCTATTATCAGCTGCTTTTCCTTTGGAAAAATCTCAATGTTTCAGAGTCATAAAAATTTCACAAGGAGTAACTGTAACAAAAAAAAGATATTAAATTAGTAGACCGTCAGCCAGGACAATCATGGTCTATTAAGATAAACTTACTTTGTGGATATCTAGATAGATTTTCTCTGTATGTCCATTTAAATGAATTATTTGCACTGCATGGGCTTTTAGTCTTCTAAAAGACACAAGGAAAATAAAATACAACATTGTCATAGGATAATGGTCCCTCCTGCCCGACAGACAATAGGATAGAAAGAAGTCACTGAAAAATGAATGTTGAGATGACATTACCAAGCTTATTTTCAAAGTGGGAGGCAATTAGGCTATGAAAATATTCTCTTCCATTATTTCTATTATACCAGAGGAAGATAAAGTAAATAAATAGGAAGATGGATGGTTATTGTTGATGCACAGTGACAGCTACTCAGTATATTACATTGAAGAACTATGTTCTATCAGTCCAGATTTTATACAGTGACAGGCAAAACTGTAACATCAGGTAGTCTGAAAATCTGAAGTACAGTTTCAAGTTCTTCAGGTCTTTTTTTTGTTTGTTTGTTTTGTTTTAATTGATGAAATTGTGGTGAAACTAGAATAAACTTCATCTGTTGTTTAATAAAGCAAACCATTTATTAGTTTTACAGGTTCATAAACTATGTCAAAAGATTTTCAGAAGGGCTTTTTACACTTGTGTGCCTGACACTGTAGATACCAAAGCTGAAGTACCACCACTTTTGCCTCATTTCTAGAGGCACAGAAGACACTCATTTTAGAGGGTTGGTTTTTTGACTTGACCTCTTCTGAGGTCAATAACCACTTAACTTTATGATAGTAATTTTCATAAGTGCTCGACTTCAATTCACAAGCTTCAATGAAGAGGGCAGTTTAGCCTAATGTCCAAATATTAACTATTCTGGACACTTTGCAAAAAATCATTTAGATACATGAAGAAATCCCCTTGAAAACCTGATCTTACATGCAATTAGGATCTCTCTTCTTGAAGACAGTCAAAAGGCACCTGGACATTGGCCCTGCTTGAGCCGGGGATTGGACCAGATGACCTCCAGAGGCGCCCTCCAACCTCAGGCATTCTGTGATTCTGTGAATTGCAATCTAAAAACTACCCTGTACTCCTGCAATTCTGCAGGGTATCTTTTGTTATGATGACCCTCTATTTTAACTCTCATAAAGAAAGGACAGTAGATAGAGCTTTCAACTTGCTCACCTAACTCATACCTGAACTTTAGGGGCTTAATGAATCAGTCCTCCTAAAGTGAATCTAGGTTCTCTATGCACTCAGAGAGAAGCCTTAATCTCAGAAGACCCAAGACAAATGCTGCTTCTTGAGTGAGGTAGTGAATCATCAGTGATTATTTCTGCTATCCCTTCTGCATTAACCCTCTGTTTTTTGAACTCTGTCCTATCCAGAGGAATGGGCAGAACCAGTTCTAGAGTTTCTCTGGATGTTGGAAGCTTAACTAAAGTGTTTTAGGTTACTTTACATTAATGGAGAAATTACTCTCAGCAAGCTCACAGTCCTACCAGATGTAAGCATAGGCAAGAAATATTAAAAGAGAAGACACGTTAAACAAAATTAAAACACAAAAAAGCATTATAGCCAATTCTATATTGCTAGTATTTAAAATGTAAACTTAGTAGAAATGAGTTAATATTCAGCACTGAAATTATACAAAGTCTACATTTAGCAACCTATTTTCACACTTGCAACACACAATTCTGTTACAGTCAGTGCAGCAGAACTCAGTAAAACACTCCTGTTTAATAGGATGTCATTTATCCACAAATATACTTTACAATAACGGATTTTCAACTACTGCAAATTGATTTTATTTCGTTCCTTCCACATGTCATTGTGCCACAGAGGATAACTCTTTTGATATTAATAGTAATGAAGACGCATTGCATCTGACAGCCCTAACAACATGTTTAATAGAACATTTTAACTTTTAAGTAGATGAAGAATCAGAAGGGAACACTTTTTCAGATTCCAATGTTTTAGAACACAGTTCTGTATAAATTAAATTATCCTGCTTAAAAGTTACTTCCACTTTGATATTATTTCTATTTAATTTGACAGTTTTATTTTGGGAAGGTAACATTCTGACATACTGCAAATTATTCTCCCAATATAATACAGTTTATCCTTTTGTATCCATTTTAAAGTAGTCTCAACAGCCTCCTGTTTCTGGTAATTCTGACAATTAATTGTCCTAACTTAATCTAAAATGACACAATTGCAAAGTGTCAATCACAAAGAGAAACAATACAAAACATACTGTTTCAAACTGCTACTACAGAACACAGCGAGAGATTTATTCAGGCTTTATTTTAAACATGTTGTTATCAGAAACTGCTGCTTCTGCAAAACAATGAGTTTTGCCAGTGATGTGGGTCAGACCTTCTTTCTTTCCTGCAGTTGTAAGATTCTCAAAACATGCTCACCCACCTAACTCAAATGCTGCCATCACATTCTACACAGAGACTCCTTTTATTGAATTTCACCTTTATTCCAGCTCTTTCCCATGCAATTTGTCTGCATCCAGAAAACACCTACTTATCTAGGAGGTATTTATAATTGCATGTGCAGAGAATGTTTTGGAAAATAGTGTATCCTGCAATTTTAAAGCCAATTAAATTGTAACTACAAGTTCAAACTTTTCTTTTAAGGAACCAAATATGCAGGGTTACTGCAGGTTGACAAATTTAACACTGAAAAAACAAAAACCTAGTTAAAAATGAAACAAAAGTGACCATCAGCTGCACGCAGTGCTGTCACTGCCTTTCCTGTTCCCAGTTCTTTTCATTATGAAATTCTAACAAAACATTCTCCCTTATTTTGAGCACAAACAGGACAACAATCAGCATTTTACAGATTTTTAGCTTCTAGACCAAGTACAGTTGTGCAAGGTGGCCTGTAACTACCTGCTTTCTAACACCACTCTTCACAAAAAGAAACCGAGATATACAGCAAGAAATAATGCTAAGATACTACCCCTACTGACCCGTAACTACCACCTCACTTGAACAGCACAATAGAGAGAAAAATGACCTTCAGGAATGTACAACTTAAAATGTTAAAGTGGAAATTGTGAAGTCACTTAGCGACAAAATAAGCTTTTAAGGCCAATATTAACACAAACCCTGCTTGCAAGCAAAAGCCATAAAACAGAGATAAGAAAGGTGAAATGCTGCAACCATCTTGTGATATCTGAAACCTATTTGGAACAGCTAATAATGCAGTCTATTCTTCAAAATTTATGTTGACATTTACTTTTGCTCACCACATTTACCTCCTGCTTGTAAGACTAGCAACGTGCATTTTACATATCAATAGCTCTTGGGTCCAGCCCTGAAGTCCTGTGCTGTTTTCAGATGCCTCTGAAGTACGCGCTGAGATAGAAGCTGTCATCAGACTAGAGTTAAACACTCTGCAATTATGCTTAGAATTCTGCATGCTGGGTAGGTTGTGGTGTGTTTGAAAACACTAACACTCTTACCCCCTTTTCCTTATCAGTTACTTAGCAACTAGCTGTCTTTAATTTCCTTTTGGGAGACTATTTTCCATATATAGTAAGGGGAACGGAATTCAGTGGTGCCCACCAACCTGTTTAGAGAATTTAGCTCAGCAGGGACTTGCATGTCACTTGAGAGAAAACAAGTGATAGTAACCAGTGAGTCATCTTATCTCACACTTTTCTAGTACAGATAAAGCAATACTGCACAGACTCTCCTCCAGCCTGAAGGTTGAAAGAACTGCTACACCTGGAATCAGTGAATACTCCAAGCCAGACAGACTGCTTCTCTCTCAAGGCCTGAACAGTTTGTGTTGGTACTTACTAATCTGCATCTTCTGTGAGTTCCAACTATTAATCACTATTCACTTTAAAATTTAAAAAAAAAAGCGCACTTTGCTGTAATGACCATTAGTTTATGCGCATACTTTACCTGTACATCGTTGGTGTTCATTCTTGTTCCCTCCTTCCCAACGAAGATGTCATCTATGTCAACCAGAATGTACCTATCCAAGGACAGTCTGAGCTTCTTTCCAGACAGGAAAGAGACGGCATCTATGAAAATCAGCTTGTGCAGCCAAAAATTCAAGTTATTGCCGAAAAGGACTCGTTGAATCCCATCGTGGAGCCCCAGGTCATGAATTACCGTGGCATAGAGAGCACTTATAGCAGCAGGTGGTGAAAGGTTTTCTGGTGTCTTTACTTTTGCAAATATCACTGGTTGATAAGCTGTATGATTAATCTGGAAAACCACCCAGTCATTTCCAAGCAAGGGACCTTTCTCAAGCTTAGAAGATTTAGTCACATGGAGCAGTGGGGAATGAGGGTTAATGCAACAGTCCTTAACACCCAGATTGCTGTGGACATGGAAAGGAAAGCCCTTCAACTGAAAGCTTTGCAAGCTGTTCTCATTGCCTTTGTGAAATCCAATAACACCTACACCATATTCTATACAGTACTTATCTAGAAGGCCTCTGTTCCAAGAGTCCATATTCACATACTTCAGAATATTTTCATATACTATGAGAGCATATTTGCCTTTATTTTTGTCTATAAGCACTGGGAGGTCACCTTTCCCAGGTGCAATTTCAATGTGAAACTGAAATCTGCTAGACTCTAAAATGGTTATTATATCTTGGCCTAATGTTGAGTACTGACTTTCCACAAACACCAGCACTACAAGATCTGTCCTCAGAGGATCAATAGGCTTCATGGTCTTCATTTCCATCAGCTTGTATGGCAACAGTTGAGGATCACCACATTCCACTTCTGAAGAGATTTCAGAAAGTTCATTTTCCTGTTTGTAGCCATTATACAAGTAGTACGCAGAAATAACTATGCTCACCATACAAAAAGTGGCCAGCAAAATAACTGTTCTTTGAAAATGTCTGTGAAGTTTCATGATAAAACTCATGTTGTTTACTTGCCTTAGATTGTTCTCGACAGCAGCATTAAAAACAAACACAGATTCTCAACTTGTTCAAGTCCTCTGAAATATTTATGTCACCATTGCAGCACACACATCTATCTTCCACAAGGCTTTACAGAAGATACAGTCTAGAAGAAAAGAAAATCAGAGATTTAATTGAGGCATCGCACTTGTGAAATATCATCACACTTAAACTAATGGTGAGCAAAGAAATTACTGCCAAACAGAGGTTTGGAAATGAACAGCTCAAAACCGACAGTTTCTTTTTTAAATTTTGCATTAGTAATGTTATTTTCTCCTGGTCCCATGAGTTTCCATGATCATTTGAATGTCTCTAAATCTCACAGGCTCCTTACCCCAGAGAATCAAGTAAAAGAGGGTATACACAGGAGGCATTGAAAAGGAAGATATGGTGGCAAAGAACTTACCGTTTTTCTGAAATGTTTAACCCAAAATATAAACGTTAACTCCAAGTAGACAATTACTGACAACCTAAACATTGAAGATTTATAACCTTCCTCCTTCCACCTCCAAGAAGCTGGAGGAACATCAGTCTACATGATTAAACAAATTCCGTCTTGTATTAATTTCTGAAGAACCAAAAAGTTCTTAACATGCACATTTTAACTGTTGTATACCTACATACTGATATACTCTATATTACATGTATTATAGAAGTATTTTTAAAACAAAACCACACTTTTTCCTGCAACATTAGAACAAAGCAAATAGCATTTTATTGGATTGCATACTGTTTTGCAAACTGTTGGAAGCACTTTGTATTTTTTTGTATTAAAAAAGCAGAAAATAATTCAGCTCTATAATTGGAGAAAAGAGAGTAATAAATCAAAAGCTAACTTCAGAGGCAGATTACCTAAGGATATACTTATGCTTTAACTTGTACATAAGGAAAGCAGTCATTTTTCAAGCCAACAGTACAATTGCTGTCAAAAGTTTCTAGTAAAACAACTGAATGATGTGACAAGCATAAAATAATTAAGTACCATAAATTATAAAGTAAGGTTAACAGAAGATTTTTAAAAATACCAAGGGTATGAAGATCTGGAACGCAATATTGTAACTTGTAACTTCACAATGCAGTACACATCCACTCCCATTTTAAATGGGACTAAGATAAACTGCATGTGCAATGTTAACATGGTCATTTCCCGACTGAGCACTTAATCCTTCCATGCTTGTGGTTTTTTTGTTTGTTTGGTTTGGTTTGGTTTTTTTTAAATAAAGTAGGGTTTAAAAAGTGCCCCTTAAAAAGAAGCTCCAGAAGCATAACAAATATCAAATATGAGCTTTTCTGTATGGACTGACAGGAACAACTAAGTTTTCTTGAGAGATCATGATAACAAGTGGTATCTACTCAAGCTTTATCTCATGTTTTGTATTTTCTAAGGTTTACTGGTTTTTGTTAGAAGTTTTGATCCCTAGAAAGGCTGACAACCATCAGTACTGAATCAGGGAGCTGATAATACAAGAAATACAGTCAGCTTCTGATCCAAAACAAATGTAAGTATATAAAAAATTAATTACATATTAAGAATAATAATAACAGTAAAAAGAGTTGTAAAAAACAAATAACTGACAAAATCAAACAACATGTCAGGTACTTGGGCCATTTAACAAGAGCTTCTCATTTTACATTGTAAAGAAGGCAGCCTTTCACTCTTTCAAAAAAAGTTAAAAAAAATTATGTACTTAACAGCACCTATGTAACTCCCACAACTTTAATTATAAATTCCAAAGATTGATCCTCCCAGTACCAGGCACGTGACCACCACAAAGTAAAAAATGAGTAGGAAAATGAGATAAGGGGAAACAGAGAAACTACGTAGCATACTATTTATCAAAACAGTAAAATTAAGCACCAAGAGTAAGTGTATGTAAACTGTCTCATTCATAATTAAGATTTCCTTTAAACCTGCATCTCATCAGATAAACCCTCTTTCTGGATATAGTTTACTCTCTTTGCCTCTACTCAGAGATACCAGTATATTAACCTTTTCTGTTCTCGATGGACTTACACTCAGCCTTGAACCTTACCTGGAGCTGCACAGAGACTTGCACATAGCTTTTAGATGGGAGACTTGCCTTTCACACAGGTGTATAGGCTCATTAATCGGTGTTAGACAAAAATAACATAATCCCAGTTTCTCAGTTTCTAGAGGCATGTATCTGAAAAGAAGTTAAAGAATGCAGAAAGACTGAACAACAATCTGAAAGTTCCTTTAGAAGAACTCAAAGAACATTTTTAAGTATTGAGATGCCTGATCCTTGTCACACTAGCTTCAAGAATATCAGTTTAGATAGCAGAAAATAGATATTTAATATGGTAAGAAGTCAGGTGACAAAGAAGGAACTCCATCCTGAATGAGTAAAACCAGAGAGATGTTTCCACAGATGATTTTTCGTTACACACAAAAGATTATCTTCATTTTGCATTTCCAATTCAGCTGCCTGAATGCCAAGAAACTCTTAAGTTTAGCGGCTAAAATTAATACTTACTGCATTCTATAGAAAAGCTGTACATACGCCTACTTATCTTCAGTAACCACAGACCTGGCTGCCTTACCTTACATAGAGCTCAGGCCTGGTTTACACAAGAGATGCGAGCTTGAAAAGCACAACTCTTGCTGAGGAAAGCACAATGAATCACTTCTTTGAATGACAAAAAGTCAGCCACCACACAACCAACAAGCACAACGCCTGTCTGCTTCTTTTAGCCCTAAGGTCCTCTAACATGGCCCCCAAATGCTCCTATTCTTATGACAGAAACCTCCAAAGTCCTATTGAAAGGATGTTCTCAGCAGCATGATTTAGAAGTTTCCTTCTTTACCAGCCTATGCTTCTAACAGTCACCTGAACGCGAGAATCCTGCCTGGAGCAGTAAAAATTTACAGCAACCTAAACTCGTGGCAAGAAAGAGCTGATTAGACAGAGTTGTTTGAATGAGATATTTCAGAAAGGGTTTGCTAAAGTAAGCAGCAGGAGCACTTGAAACATTTGCAGCAAGGACACAGTTCCTAATGTTGTTCCATGGAGCAGAAAATCTGGAGCCAGCCCAGAAACCTGTATTTTTTTTTCAAGAAAACTTCTGTCATTTTATCTTAGCTCCTAACTGCAGGTACCTCCTGGGGCTACAGAGTGCAGCTGTAAGGAGGAGTGGATGGAAACGCCAAGACAGATGCGAGGTTTGACTGAGGAATGAGGAATTCTCCGAGACCCAGCAGGACACAGCCAGACTTGGCAGCTCACCACTGAAGACAGGAAGGAAGGGGAATGGAACAGAATAAGGCACAAGGTTTTAAATGCATACTCTCTTGAATAAGCTTGATGCTTATGTAATTTTCACTTATTTGTGCCATTTTTGTATGGCAAGAGTTCAAAAGGACAGAAAGAAAAAAATAAAAACCACAAAGAGAACATGCATTTAATAATATAAAAATAGTTTCAAAGCCTTAACAAGGTACAATTGCTTTCCTAGAGGACAAGCAGCATTTTACTCTGAGCAACAGTATTTGGTAGATATTCCAGTGGTATCTTACAACACCATGACAAAATAAATCATCATGCACCAAATTTGACAGTTGTACAGAGATCTTCAGGGTGCATCACCCACAACACACTGTGGGAACTATCAAGACCACTACAGTGACCTTTATCACAACTTTAGACATGGCTTCAGGGAAAATGGTCCTTGTCTGCTATCACTTCCAACAGTAAAACCAGATGAATGGCATAATTCAGAACGTACCAACAGTAAGTCATTAGAAGCAGCATTTCAGAAGAGGACAGTATTTATGGAGTCTCACTTTCATGACAGAAGAATACAATATTTTACAAAAGAATGAAGAAGTCATAATAGCTTGAACTACAATACAAAAAAAAAAAAAAATCCAGGTATAAGAAAAAGAAAAAAATAATAATTTAAGAGTCTAGAAACTCTTCACAAGAGTTCAAGCTTGTTAGCGTTGTTTCAGTGAAAAACCATGAAAAAGATCAGTAGCTAAGATAAGCAGTCTTAGCTCATTGATTTCAATGGAGTCACGTGCAGTTCAGTGCAAGGAAGATATGGTCCCACCTACATCTCAAAGTACTCGAAAACGGGTGTCTGACATGATATGAATCCAATGTTCCACAAAGGTGATGCTGAAATAAGCTTTACCTATAAAATAATTTGTATATTTTTCCACCATCTGAAGTAATAAAAGCTGCCTCAGTGTTCTTTATCTAGAGCCTTATTATTTTAGAAGAATCCGCATTTGATCTCCTACAGAATCTTGCATTTTCATGCCACCATATGAAAATTCAGACCAGAACTTTTTATCTGTGTTGTTCCAAGTATGAGGTATCAAAATGCCTCCTTAATGTAAAAATTAGCATCTTTAAATATTTAGAATTTTGGTTTTAACTTGTGGACTCACTGTGGAAGAAAAGATCTTGCTAGGAGAAGGCAGAGTCATGAAAATAAGTTTTATGTTTTATTCTGAATGCAGAAAAGCTCAGTATCATTTTCACCTATTGTAGAAGTGATTTCTGCAGCCCAGGACTAGTTCACATGAAAATCTTGTGGGTACAGGAAATAAGTACCACTTACTAATTGGAAGATTTACAATTCTAAGCAGTACTGGTGGGTAGTCACAATCACAGGTAACTTCAGACAGCTAGCATGAAACAGATGCATTAGAAATCTTCATCTGTGAGTTTGGGATTTAAAAAATGTGTTGTTTGGTCCTTTTTAAATTCACTAACAAGAGAGTACTGATGAGAGAACAAATACCACGATGAACTCAAAAGAGCTGAATTGCACCATAAGGCATCTGATGAGTTCCTACCATTTGCAGTTTTCTTAAGTTTGTTGTTTAATTGCTAAGCATAAGTGACCAAATTCTTGGCTTCTATTAAATCATTTCAGCACAATAACCCTGATAGTAATACATACATGAGACAACACTGGCTGAGGACTTAGCCTATTAATGAGATGCAGTAAGTGAACATAAAGAACATGAAATCAAAAGTCTTGATTTTGTGTTTTCTGGCAGTAAAATTTATATAATAAATACTAGAGCATCCTCCCCAGAAATCTTTGCAGTCAGTATGGAACCCAGTCCCTGGCCTCAGACTCATAGGTGGCCTCTGACAGTCTCTGCTCTGTGAGTGTCATGGCAACCCAGCAAACATTGTGCCCTCCTTGTTATATTTTTTTGCATTAAGACTTCATGGTGCACACAGTTCCTTTGCATGGGTTTAGCAGGGACTGGCTTTTCCACACAGCAGAAACATACTATTTTCTGGACTCAGTAGTTGAAAAGAAATGTGGTTCTGACCATTCAGTTTCATAACTGGTATTAATATTTTCTGGAACTAAAAAAAAATTAAAAATCCCTTAAAGATAACAATTTCAGGTTCACATCATAGTGATGAGTAGATCCTCAAACAGGAAGCCAGGTGCCCACATAGACATATAAATTGCATACAATTAAAAAAATCTATTAAAGTTGTATCATTAATATCAATATATGTATTATGAAAATCAATATAAGTATCATGAATAATTCTTAAAACCATAAGAAACATGTTTAATTCAGCTGTGTTAAAAACTACCAAGATTAAAACAATGGGCTGAGTTAAAATATCCACAAGCAAATGAGAAATTGTTCTCAAATCACATTTTTTTGAAGTGCAGTAACAAAATTCTGGTTTAGTCTTGCCTCAAGCCTGTGCAAGGGCAACTGTTTACAGTGACCCTTGGTTAGAAACAATAAAGTTGTGTCATACTTACATAGAGACAGAAAAAAATATTGTCAATGGGTAACAAAAATCCTTTTCATCAAGAACTGCCAAAAAAAAGAGCTAGTTAAGGATTGATTATTCATCAATATTATTCAGCTATATAACATTTGTCTGGTTACATATACCCAGACATATTTTTAAATATCTTTCTCCTCTTATAGTAATCCCCATCATTATATTCTGGTTCTGTTCTTTACCAAACTGGCCGCTACCAGAGTGCTAGCAACATACACCTGATAGTATGAAGGATGAGTTTTAAATTAAGAATAGACAAAAAATAGACATATTGGTCAGCACGTTAACATGGGCATTTAAATCTCCACTGATTACAATGCTATTTAATTCTTTTGAACATAGAAGCCTGCTTTGGCCAGCCACTATGAAATATGACCTTAACAGAAGTATTCTGAAGTCATTACATCAGTGTGACTAAAATGGAAATCTTTGGATATATGAATGACATGGTAGAAAGCAGCAAAGTGCATCTGAAAACAATCAAACCTGGGACGGATAGTAGCGCTCAGGTTTTTAAATCAATTATGGCAATATGAAAACTGGTCTCCAAATACTGAGTGCTCCTATTTGCAATGTTATTTTACTGACTGAAGTATTCAAGCAGCAGTAAATCAGACAAGCAAATCCAGGCTGAGATCTTACGACTGCATATTAAGAAGACATTTTCAAGTTGAAAAGATGGTGATACGAGGCATGAACTGTCAAGGGACGTCATCGAGACCCTTTAGTATCACATAACAAACCCTGTAATGTGTGATTATTGAAGGGCTTGCATTCTCTCACATATGTCTAAAAAAATAGGGAATGGCTTAGGCAGAACAAGAATTCTGGTAGATAGTTATGCTTTTTCAAGTCCTTGGGGCAAGCAGTTTTCAGTTTCTATTGCACCTGTTATCCTTAGCTCCACGCTGTATTGCTTCACGCATTACTAGACAGCCTTACAGGATAGGAATTCATGCCTCAGAATTTGTTATTAAAAGATATTTATAAAGACTAAATATATGGTATTTTTAAATACTCTAAAAGAAGGCTTGGTAGACTTTCACAGAGTACAGAAGCTGGGTTTGGTCTCCAAATTACTATTTACGTCCATACAATACTTTCTGCTGAAAGATCTGAAAACAAATTATTTTTCATACAACTTTTCTCAGACAAACCCTATTATTTATCATCACTTTCAGACACATCACTATCTAAAGACTAAGTGACTTGTCCAAGGTCTTTAAGATTATCTTTAAAATGTACAGCACATTTTTTTTGTCTGTGTCCGTACAATTACTTCCCCCTCTCTTTTCTCCCACAACTGCCAAGCACAAGCCAAGCGGAAAGAGTTAAAAAGGCAGAGTTCATCACCATTCCTGCCGAGACCTGAGCCGTGCTGACAGTGAAACCACATTCGTTCCACTCTCCGTTTTATTAAAACGAAAAAAACTCCCACCACTCCAAAACCTGAAGCAATTAGCCGGCACATCAAGTAGTAAATTAAATAATATAAAAAAGTTTTCTGCTATTTCCCAAAAGTTGCTTGCGACAGTTGCAGCGAGCAGTAATACACACCAATTTCTGCACGGGTT